GATCTTTAGTGCGCTATACTAAAATGCATACTGAATGAAGATTCTCCAGGGTTCCACAGCAAATCAATTCCTTAAAACCAAGTAGAGATACATCTTTCATTATGTGCAACGAGAATACATTGGTGAAGTTACATACTGTATGGTGCCAATGTCTGCATGTGATGTGAGTCTCAGCGCTTCTTTTTCTCTTTTATATGACTGCATTGCTGTGTCACTGTGTGACCCTGGCAGGGAATAATGAGCTCCCAGCGCCATTAAGATATAATTCCCTTTGAAAAAGCCTTGTTGAGAAACGGGTTATACGTTTTTTAATTCCTAGGTGAGTCTAATGGGGTAAAAGTAGAAAAAAATAAGTTAAGCTCTGAAGGTTTGAATGAATCATAAACCACATATAAACTGAAAAAAGCTACCTGAGAAAAATGGTACTGAAAATCACAATCAAATCATAGCCATCAAAATGATCATTTACTTTGATTAAATTAATATTGATAAATCAACTTTGATATTTACTATATTAAATATATAAATTCCTATTCATCCACACACTCACCCATACATCAATCCATGTATATTTATACTATATGTTATACTGTATATACCATATGTTTATGTATCATTTAGTCTATATTTACAACTGCCATTTTTCTTTTTTTTATTCTGAAATAAGTAGAGCTGAAACAAAGACACATTTTTTCTGAATGTATTTTATATTGCAATTTGCATTTACAAAGACATCGTAAACTTCATAAAGACAAGCAATGACAAGCGAAAAACAACAGGAGCAAGCTACTTTTGGAATGTAGCAAATAATAGCCACCATCGACCACAGCCTCTGCACACAATGCAAATAATTAGATATAACCAAGATCATCAGTTAAGCCACACAATCTAAAATTATACTTTTTCAAAGTCAGTTCTGAACAATGAAATATGGACAGGGATTTCATTAAAATAATTTCCAACTAGTTTGCCAGGAACAGCTACAAAAAGAAACATTATTTTAATTTTCTCAAATAAATCTTTAAAAAAATCTTAAACATTTAAGTGTGAGCCTTAAAAGCAGGGCTTCACCTATGTTTTCACCGACACATTTCACTTGTGCATTTCTAAGCCCTCATAAAAATAGTCTAACTTTAGCATTCCATTTTTGGTGTTTGAAGGCAAAAACTTGCATTCCATTACAAAGACCATTCATTGTAGTTGAAGTCACTTGGTGACCATTATGAACCGATCAGACATTTGTCTAATCAATATATGGCACTGGCCCATGCAAACATACAAATTTTAAAATAAGTACAATCATGAACAACAGTTAAAAATATATATCTTCAGTTTGAAACCATGGAACTGAGATGTTGCATCCGTCTTTATGTAAAAAAAATATTTACAAACATATCTTTGCAGTAATATCATACATAGCCTGTTTCACTAGGAAGAACAGATCCATCAACACATGGCAGTGTGTGTCAATTAGTGTGCTTAAACACGTGGAGTCACTCAGTTCAACATCTGGTGACAAGTGTGCCAATACAGAAGGGTACTGCATAATACAGTATTATTCAATTATACTCATTGCATAATACAGTTGAAAATCTAGCCTTAACTGTAACAAAAAACAAACAGTTTTGCAAATTGATTGTAAAACCAATAAATGTGTCTGCGTTTATTTCTTCATAATTAATCACACATCAAAAATTTGATGTCTAGCTTCACAAAACTTTGGCACGAGGCAGGGTGTTCACTTATTAAAAATGTCTTCTCTTAATAAAACAGCAATTCAAGACTAAAATATATATTTTAATACAATGCAGATTAGGTCAGCTATTGAAATGATTAAACTAAAAATATTTTCTTTTCTCTCAGTTTAACATCCTGAGTACTTTTAAAAATAATTCATTGGACAGCCACTATGAAATGCTTTAATTACTGTTCTAAGTTGTAACGAACTGTGAAGCTGCAATTGGCACTTTTTTCTGGGATTTATGTTCATGTTCAGGAAAAACAGTTAAAAAACTCACAATCATTCTGAAATCTTTCAGTTTCTTCTCAGGTGATCTCAGGCTCATAAAATGACAGAGACAGACGTATTTGTGCCATTTAAAGTAGTTTTCATAGAATGTAACATCTCACCTAGCAAATAAACTTAATTTGTATATACACTTTAAGATCTGTTCAGAATGCAGTGAGAACAGAAGATACATAAGTTCAAATGAAAAATGGCATTATAAATATTGCATGTGTAGTAATTTTATTACAAAAAATAACTAATCTCAGTTTTGAAAATGTGAAAACACAGGTAAAACTACATTCTAATTATGTATAAAACAATGAAATTACTACTAACACAAATATATATAATACTGTCAAATTTCATCACAAAATTAATTTACATAATGTATAATTTACATCAGAAAATGTTTTTGGCATTTACAATTGATATCTTCTGAGAAAACAAGCACAGGTACATATGTGACAATATGATACAACTATTATGCAGTTTTTTTAGTTACATTAAGGACAAGTGCATAGCAAAATATTTGATAATTTAATCCAGTTAATAAAACAAATACATCCTCTCTAACTGGCAGTTAAAACAAAAAAAACATGATTAAGGCAGACTTCATTTAAAGTTGGCGTAATCAGAGAAAATGTCGACAAAGTCTTGTACCACCCTATAGCAGAAGTCATATTGTTCCTAGGAAAAGAAAAACATTTACATTAGTGGAAAAGAGTTTTTATTTAGAACACCAATGTCTAATTTATGCATCATAGCAGGGAGAGCCCCTAATGAATTAGATCAATATGAGATATAACTTCATGACTTCAAATGTGTCTGTGAGCATATTTTTATATTTAATTCCACATAAAGAAAGAACTTGAATTTTAATATTTTCTATTTTAATATGAAATAGCTTTCAAAAACCAAAGGCAATAACTGATGACTCATTTTAATTTTATTAACATGATATCTCATACATACCATTGTTTGCACCATATGGGGTCTCTGCATTCGTAAACTTTTCACAGTCTGGAATACGTCTAGAAGGCCTTCAGCCTTGACTCGCTCCAAGATGTTGCTTAGTGCTATGAAAGTGCCTGTCCTCCCAGCACCAGCACTACAAACAAAAACACCACATACTTTAACAATAAACAAGGCTCCTACAGTACATCAAAAAAGTACAGCTTGAGGACATTGAACAGATGCATCACACTTCATTTCTAAGCATATCTAATTTGTTTTTCTTTTTTAATCACAATACTGTTAAATATATGTTTTATATTGACAAATGAAAAGAGGCAAATCAGAAATAAATGCCATGGTTTTAGTAATGGAACCAATTCTATTACTCCAGGCACATATTTCAACAAGGTAATTGCTTCTCTTTCTTTGGGATGAGTCAGTGAAGTTAGATACGTCATTGGATAGTTGATGCAACTGGGTTTAATCCCAGTGGATGATAGAAAGGCTTAAATGCCTCTTAGCTAGCAGTAATGAACAGGTAAAACAGGGTAACTGAAGTTTCCTGCTGTTAGCTCATTTTATCCGATTAAGTGAAGAACTGAATACGATTTCACATGTATTTACTGCTAATTGATTCTGAATCACAGGATCAAATCAATCCCAGTGGGTCACACAGCATTAAAAATACCTAACATGGAGCCATTGAAGGATCAGAGGCTCTCTCTATGGCATACTACAATATTCTAAGAATAAATTAGAGTCTTTATAAAAGGACTGAAGCTAGGATTAGCTACAATTTCCACTGAGTCAGGCTCTGGCAAAACAGATTACAAAAATAATATATATACTGTACAGTCCAAAGACTCAATAGACTCTATAAATCATATAAAATTCTTGCAGTACGATAATTTGATTTTATTAAAAAATAAAATTTCTCACTGCTGGAAGTACTCTCTTGTACTTCAGTACACAGTAGATACAAACATAATTGATAAAAAATTAAATGGGACTTTATGTTAGATTCTCTTCCATCGTAACCCTTATTTGTGTTGGCAGCTCTGGGTGCTTTTCTGATGTACAGCGGGAGCAGGTGGATTGTATTTGTGTATTACCAGCTGTGGCTGCTGTACCTGCAGTGAACTATAATGGGGTGGTTGCCAGATTGCTGCTGCTGTTTCTGCACCGCTGCAATTATGTCAATCATTCCTTTGCCTTCAGCCGGTATGCCAATCTCTGGCCAGCCGTGGAAGTGAAAATGTCGGACAAGCCGCGTCTGGTTGTCCTGGATGAGGAGAAAGAGGTACAGTATGTATGAGCTAAACCAAGAACCCCTAAAATATAAAAAATGATCTCAGAAGACTTCCAACATGTTTCACAAATAACACTGTCTTCTGAGAACAACAAAGCATTTAAGTGAACTTATGTTTAAAAGTTACTTATTAGACAATATTTTTCTCATACATAATTAGGTTGTACAGTATATACTGTACATACCATTATATGCAGTATCTTATTCATAATATATACAGAACACCCCAGAGACAGATTTCTTAAGATAAAATAGAATCCTGACACATCACTTGTACAGATTCTTTATATATTCTCTTTTAATTAATATGTGCACCCAGCACTCCTCATCACAATATTAAATGTGAGTGACTGTCAAAATATTGATATCCTGAATGTTTGGTTACTGTAATTTCACTAAGTAAAGAATTCATATGTAATATTATTTATCTGGGAAAGACCTTAAGCACCTGCAGGTTTGCTTTGTTTTATATTCCTTCCCAGATGTTATAAAACTGCATTTCATCTGGTTGTTCCTCGACAGGAAAGTAAAAAAAAAACAACCACCTTTACATTGGCCAATCTGTCAGCCCTTTATTCCCATTAATGGCAAACTTAGAGCTCTTCAAAATGTGTCTGTACACAGGCTTAGCATCTGCTGAGGCTCCACTAATATGGTTACATACTGTATCTTCTGTAAAGTGGTTATTTTAAACCGTAACACAAAGTCCGTATGTATCTGAATTCACGCGTGTGACCTTAGTCAAAGCCTATGTGAAGTGTGAATCCAGTCAATGTCATCTTTAAAAGGATATCTACCCTTCAGTCTTTCAATACTGCTATTCAGCAGCAATCCAGACAAGTGTTTACGTAGAAAACTGTTTAAAAAAACTCACCGGTTTGTACGTAAGCACAAAGTCTCGCACGCTGAAAGTGTCAACAAGCGTTTCACCCTTTATTTCCACCGTATAGTCGCTATATGTGACAGAGCCCTCTGGTGGCCAATACTGGAAGCACTTGTCCTGCAACATTTGAGGCAAATGATCAGCTTAATTCACTTTCTTGGTCTTTTTTTATCTACCTACAATATGCTAAATTGTTTCCTAATGTAATAGTTACCAAAATTCATAAGACGATTTTGAAAAATGCAGTGGAAAGGTAATTGAGTTTATCAAGTCTGATCTTTTGTATCTTTTTATGACTTTCTTTTTCTATGCTCCTTTATTTTGTCTTCTTTCTTACTGAAAGTCATACATTTTTTGTACTACCCAGAACTATTTACAGCAATGTAGTGACCTCCTTAATGAAACTGACATGGATTTATCCTACCTGGAAGCTGTCTTTCACATCAAAGAACCATAACTGATTAATTAGAGTGTGTGACATGGCACATGTCTTTGATCCTGTTGTAAGATGGAATGTAAAGTACCTGCTCCCTCTCCTGGAGCTCTGTCAGCATCACAATGGAGTGAGACTTCCACTCCCACACCATCCTCCAGAAATCATCCACTGTGTGCGCTATAGGCCCCTGGGTCGCAATGAAGTAATCTTTTTGCCGATATCCCTAAACGAAAAGCAAAAAATGTGTCTTCCCTTCCACATTTATGTCAGAGTGTCTAGATAAAACGGATTAACTCAAGCTAAATAAAACGGGATTCTAAAAAAAGTTTCAAGTAGATTTTCTTACACGTGAAATGTGACTTTTATTTCTGAAATTAGTATCATTATTATTCAGTTAATACTTTTCTTCTCCCTGGAAAGTTTCATTTCTTAATGTGGTAAATTGTTTTTCACTGAGCAGTGTCCAGTCTGACAAGCATCATACCCATGTGCTATGAATGTGTTCAATGCTTAGAATTAGTGGAGGGAATTCCAGTTATTGGTGCTGCGGTGTCAACAACTGAATCTATCCTCTCTTGTTATTCCTTCCTTTCCTCTGAGAACGGCTCTCTCTCCAAGGGGCTTTCCGCAGTCATGGACAAGCCAGGCACGTGACTTAAACCACACACAGTGCACTCACTGCAATGACTGATGATCAGTGTTGATCATGAGTCATTCAGAATATTAATATTATAGTATAATTAAAAAAGTTATTTTAGCAAGAACCGGTTGTGCCAAATTTAACTCCTTACTTTCCTGTTGCAAAAAAAACTGTACATGTACTGTACCAAAGAGTAAGATATAACTCCAGAGGTGAAAATAGCTTAACATAGTACATTTGTAACGATTAGTGAATTAATTTTTAGGAAGTGGAGCAGCAGAACAGGAAGTTGCACTTGCAGAGGGAGTTGTAAGAAATTCGTAACCTAAACAAGAAAGCTTTCAACCTCCTTCTGTTTAAAGGCTTAATTCAAGTCTATATTCCAGAAACTCTGTGTTTTTCCAAAGTACGACTGTAAAGATGAACTATACAGGTAACAGTTCAAAGAAGTTGGAACCAGCCTGAGCTGATGCCATCTGAAATGAAACACAGAACAAAGGCGTGAATGTTTTTAGTTCCTGTCGTTCCACCACAGAGAGGAATTCGATGGAAGCTTACGTGTCTGTGCCTGCCTACCAGGTGATTTGTGATAGGCAGAAGTGGAATACAGGGCCACAATCTCACGTTGCAGTTAATCCTGCTGCCCCGCAGCTCTTGGGTCCTCAGTTTGATGGGTTTGATTCGAAAGTTATTGTTATTGTGTGTGTGGTTTTTTTTGGGTGATTTGCTGGTTGGGTTAATTGGTGTCTGTACATTTACCTGGGTAGGGTCTGGGGTGCTGCAACCCTTACAAGGAATAAGCAATTCTCTGATTACAGATGGATGAGAGGAAATAGTCAAATTTGTAGTGAAAATGTTCTCCTCATGGTAAACCTAAAGTATATGTAAGCCTTCAACTAAAAATATTCTATATTTAGGAAAGAATATAAGTGCTTACATCTATAAAGGACGCATTTATATAATCTGTAAATTCCTGCCCCCTTTTCATGGACAGAATTACTCTGTTAAAGTCATCTGTAAAAAAAAAAAAGATAATTTCAAAACATGCAAAGACAAAAATGGAAAATTAACTGAAAAAGTGACAAACATAATCTTTCAAATTATACTGCATTACAGTATAGTATATATTAGCAATACACAGTTTTATTAGATGTGTGAGATATTGAATAGTAAGATTAGAGTATTCCATTTACAAAAGTAACCTGTTTTATTGGAAGCAAGCATGAAATAACATAATGAAAGCCTATTTAACATGAAGAATACCCAATTTAATTAAAGGTCATTCACCATATGCATATCAAGGCCTTCTTTAATACATGAATATATAATAAAACAAGGCAGATACTGTATATAGACACTGTCTTTCCCCATCTCAGGATATAAATATTAATGCCACAGAATGTGTCTGGTTTACACCTAGCCTCCTCACTTGAAAGTGAAAAGACATAAATAACTTCATTCATTTCTTTCAGTACTCAGAAGACATGCATACGAATCATTAACAGAAGCATGTCTTGACAGATCTGCAGTATCACAGGTCTATTCCTCATTCCATTGAATTGTTGACAGTTCAACACAGATCATATTGACCTAGTAGGAAGACTGCAGGAAAGAAATAAACCCAATAAATAAAAATATTTTGCTTTTACCCGAATGTACCTAGAAATGTAAGAAATATGTTTTATCTATTTTTGTAAAAAAAATGCAAGTTTATTTTTTTAACAGGGCATCTTGACTATTTAAAAATGTATATACTGCATATTAACATAACAGAGGTCATAATGTCAACCCTTAAGAAAAAGAAAACAGAACTCCAAGTGCCTGGTTTAACTCATGGCAACAGAGCACACTTACATGGAATTATCTGAAGCACACGGTTTTTCTTCATGTTGGCTGGCAAGTTCCCTGTTCTCATGTTCTCTTTCATAATTCGGACATTAGTAAGTTTCTGCGAGTAAAGTTATAATAAGAACGATTAGAAAGTTGTTACTCTTCTTATGTATACGTCTGCTATTGTATGCTAACCAACATTCTGTCCTAATCTCATGCATACTGCTGGTAACCATAAGTTTATGCATAATGCTGCTATTAGTATTTAATACTATTGCTTTCCACTATGTTGTTAGTATGCAAGCTCCACCAATTTAAGATCATTTTATGATGAAAAACACAAGTAAGCATTTCATTGTACTCAGGTACATGTAAAATAAACTTGAAACATGAGAACGAAGACTCATTAAAACTAGTAGGGTACATCAGTATATAGTATATAAGGTGTAAAACAGCTTTCCATCCCATGGCCCATCTGATTCACCTTTCTTACAGAGTGGTTTCTGTTAAACTGCTATGATTAGATGGATTGGACACATGTTGAGTAAGACTGATGTAAATCATCTCATTTCCAATTACATTTTATTTCCTATACAAATCTGATTAAATATTAAATTAGTAAATTAGGATAGAGGATATTGTGAGAAAAGTTGTTAAATAACAGATTCAGCATTGTACATGAGTGCAGTTCCACTCTAGAACTGTAGTTTACTTGTCCTAAAAGCAAGTCTATACATGTATGCTGATCTTACTTTGAATTCTTCTTCGAGTCCAATTCTGTCAGATGGGGCTGTTGTGTTATGTAGTTTCTGCAAGTGTCCCTCCAAAGAAGAAACATCAAGCTCGGTGTCTCCATATAGATAGTATTCCAGCAGAGCTTGATAAATAAACGAATACTGCATCTGTGGTGAAGCAAAAGCACCACATTTTATTAATGCAAAAGTAAAACCCTACAGGAATGTAAATGAATAAGCACGTTTCCCTAAAACAAATTAAATCAAATTGACATAAACTGTTTACTTCAAAGTGGGTTTTTCACAGAACAAATTCAATACATTTTGTTTAAATGACATTTTTAGAAAAAAGGCTGTGTAATTCTAGGTGACAGAAGAGAGCCACATAGAAAAACTGACATGCATCACAGTTCACATTATCTGCTGTGAGTTTATTAAATTAAAGAATCATTTATTTCTGGTATCTGGTAAAAAATTGACACTTGTCCTCCTTATCTGCAACTTAAATGCAAATTTAATTCATGAAAAATGGGCATGGATAAAAACTGAAGTTAGTTTGTCAGTGCAGATGCACTCACATCAGTCTGAACAAGCTGGGAACGCTGCTCTCGTATTCTGGACACAAACCCAAAGACGTCAACTCTCTGCTCTGCATGCATCATGTCAATCATGGCATCAATAACGATGAAGGTGCCAGTCCTGCCTACACCAGCACTGCAGAAGAAGAAAGGATAAGAGAAAAGCTCACACCAGTGTGATCACATCTACTGTTTGGCTTGTGTTTTAAGAGCTATTATAATGGAAAAATACATTCATTTTTTGGAATACTTTAGAACTAAAAAGGGATGTAGAAACAGTCACAGCACATTTACTCACAAAAAATACAACAGAGGACTGCACCAAGAAAAAAACAATTACTTTCACACTAGTTTCAAAGCATCGTATTCATGATGCCTGTGGTTAAAATCAATTTCACCTTTTACTTGATTTTCTTAACACTACAGGTTATTTTTTGACTACTGTATGTTCAAACATACTACCGTACAATAAAGAAGGATTTGTTGCTGATTGTGGTAAAATATTGTTAATCTGCTTCATACATGTAATCTCATTGAAAACACAAATGTTCAGAAAACCATTCAGCTGACAGATCTATGAGCGTTTCCTTCTGGCACACATATATTTCTGCCATTTCCGTTGCTGTAGCTTACTCCCTTTCCAAGTGGTTTGCTACTCCTGACTGACAGACTTACAGTGCCCAGGCAGGTGTTACTGGTCCAGATGGATATGAGCCAAAGATTTAGTCTTGTCAATGGAACCATTCAATTCAAACTTCATTTGGGAAGTCTGGAATTCCTGCCCATGATGCTAACTACTAAACCAAGGGCTGCATTTAAAAACGAGATGTCTTAGACAGCAGCACCTGCTAAACTATTTTATTGCCACCGTCAAGTCAATAATTTATGGATTTTATATTTAATAGTATTTTGTCTTTTGAAAAAATACAACTTGCAACAAACACCTGTTTCATTAATTAGAAGAGAAATAGTGGGCTACTAATGACCAAACGATGAATTATAAAATATTTTAAAACAATTTGAAACAGATCATTTAAAATGATGTAGTCAGAGCATACAACTACAAAAAATGTGCACATCTGAGAGAAGCATTTGGGGGTCCATCTCCTAAGTCTAGTTCGATTTCCACATTTCAATAAGAATATCATAAGTAATTTAAAGTATGTGCATAAAAATGAGTACACATGGCTGCGCTTTACTTATCTGCGACACTCATCACTCGGTCGGGAAGATGCTTTTCGTTATTAAAGCCCTCTGTACCTGCAATGCACAACGATAGGACCCACAAAAGAAGGGTTGACGGTCTTGACTTTCTTAAGGAACTTCAGCATGCCAATGGGGGTGAAGGGCACGCCGAAATCTGGCCAGCTGGTGAAATGCAGTTGGGTGACCAGTCTGGGGGCCTTGGAGCCATCGCTTGACTGCTGGAAGATTGGATTGACAGTATGAGATTTCACACCTTCACCTGACCTGAAAACAAAATTGTCGCAGCCTTTGCATGTGGTATAAAACAAAGAATTTCATTCTTGTGATGAACATGGTAATGTGACCCTCCCCCACCCTTCTTCAGCTTGTAGCAGCCATCTGCCAGGGTAATGTAAACGTAAAATTCTCTGTATTTTCATTTCATTGTTTAAAAGGCATCATCTATTTTCCTAAGATTCTGGACTCATAACTAGATGGTTGTTTTGGGGAGTCGAATGACAGGGGAAACGGTGCTTTTTTTACCCTTCACCAGAATTGCTCCACTAATATACCTAGCTGCAATAAATTGGTGCAAATGTAAGTTGTTTTGGAAAAAGCCTCCGCCAAATAAATTAGTAATTCACAAAACTGTGGAGGAAAGAAGTGCTCTGGGTACTTTTAAACCAGTCCTATACTACATGTTAAACAGGGCACTTTCAAAGTTATTTTACCTCATGAAACTATATTCCCTGTGCTTACCATCTGACTAAAGCTGTCAATGAACGGAGGGACCAAATTAAGTTTACAATAGGCCATACAGTATATCTACATTTGTTCTTGTGGAATAAAACACAGAAAACAGAAATACATTTTTGTGAGATGTTCTTAAGGTTGTGGTGTGCAGTGATACAGAAAATTTGATTCAACCAAAAAGGAAGTGCTCAGGCTGATAAAATAAAAAAAGCCAAACAATGGAACTAGTGTTCAAATCCTCCTATAATTTAACTTGACTGTGACAGAATACTGCTACAGCAGCTGCTTAAACTACAGATGCATGCTCTCAGTTCCACCTGGCAAGTGACTGTATGCTTCTTCGCATACATTTTGTCTATCTATTAAGTGAATAACATATGCATTTGCTGGTTTATTTTTTAGCAAAGCTGACAGTTTAAATACTTCTTGCATCTATGGAGCATACTTACATATTGCACACAAAACTTTCGTATTGTATAGTCCACGAGAACAGTGAAGTCTTCCACAGAAACTCGGATATTCCCGTAAGTCCAGCAACCTTGATCGGGCCAGTACTGATAACACTTGTCCTGTGGAGAAAAAAAAGGCCTTTTTTAAATCTATTCCCATTACGCAAATTGCAATTTCCTTCTTGCAAATAAACCATGACAGGAATACACTTGAATGACGTTATAACGTAATGGCATATTTAGGGTAACAGCATAGTTGTGGGCTGAAAAAACGTACTTTCTGATAGAGATAAAGAAGATGTTAATAGTGTAATCCCTGAGATTTTCAATAAATATTATGATAACTGCATTTTTAAAAAAAACATGCATTAGACTTAGCAAAAGTGAGAGTTATTAAGGGATAAAAAAGCAACAATACATTGTAATAGACATGTCTTTGGAAGGGAATAAAAGTATTTCTCCCCTCTTGCCTGTTTGTTCTTAAAATCAAATGGTACATTTATAACCAATAATTATATCAAAGAATTATGAAGCTAGATACACAAAGAAATGTGAGCGTTATTATCACATTTACTACACACGAGTGTAAAATGATGAAGAAAAGGGAGATGTGGCTAGTAGTATAAATTATCATCTGAAAGGTGGCTTTTTTACATGTCCACTCAATCTGTAGTGCATTTCATGAAAATCAGGGATAAATCCATTTAATGAGAAATTGCTAGCTTTTAATTATGTTAAAACTAAAGAGGGCTGTATAAAGCTTTATTTAATTATTGATTTCAAGTCTCCCCAAAGCTCATTCTAATCTGACTTCAATTCTATTTTTATTGATTGCCAGGCTTCTCCAAACTGTGTTTTGAAATGTAATTTCAAAAGAAATTCACTGGGAGGCCTTTCAACTCCTTACATTAGTTCATTGATTTTATTTAAACTTTCATTTTCTAGGGTGAACTGGAGACCCATTTACTGTATACAACAGGACATTTACTGGAGTTGTCTGAGTGAAGCACTCTGCTCAAGGGTACAACAGCAGCATCTCATCAGGGGTTTGAACAGATGACCCTCTGGTCTAGAATACAGGGCCCTAACCACTGCACCACAATGCTTTATAGAGAGAAAAGGCAGCAGAAAGAGATGACTTCTTCCACCCTGAGTATGAACTGAGGAGCTCAGATAAGCAGGTGGGGCTGAAATTAACAAGGAAGTTCCTAAGCATTATTTACCAGAATTTTGTTATGGACGTTGATGTAACAAAGACAAATTTAAAAAACCTTTTATTAGTGATTAGGGTTCAGAATTAGGGGAGAAGATAAGAGGAAAAGATGTTATGTCCCAGAATAAGATACTCAACTCATACTGCCTTTGTTGTCCAGGGTACAAATGCAAAAATGCAAGTTGCTTTGAACTGAATAAAATTGTCAGTTTTACTGTTACTACTAATAATAAGCTGAAGAAGGTAATGCACACTTATACATTAAAAACTTACTTCTTTTCTTTCTTTTAAGTTAGTCAACATCACAATAGTTGCCGATTTCTGCTCCCATATCATCCTCCAGAAGTCAGCTACTGTTTCTTGCTTTGGGCCTAAAAAAAACAACTTTGGATAAGTCACCCATTTTAAATCTGCTGGCTGCATATATACCAGACAATTGGCATTATGCTGGCTACAAGCAACACACTAGGACATCACCCTCTACAATGACACTGCCGATGACAATTCCAGAAAAAGTTATTCTTACAGTCCATTCTCCCATTTTCCAACAACTCTATCCAATACAAGGTCACAGGGGAGCCGGAGCCGGAGCCGGCAAGCAACGGGAGCAAGGCTAGATACACCCAGGACAGGACACCAGTCCCGCAGGGCACGCACAGACACAGACACGCATGTAGCCAATTAACCTGCCAGTATGGTTTTGGACTGTGGGAGAAAAATGGGATAACCTGAACGCAAACTACACAAACAAAGGGAGAACATACAAACTCCACGCAGATAGCACCCCAGGGCCAGAATGAAAGCAAGGGCCCCAGCACTGTGAGGCCGTAATGTTAACTACTGGGCTGTTGTGACACCCATACTTATAGTTATTTATAAAAATATATATATATAGTTTCAAAAAAACAATTGGAAAGGAGATTCCTTATGGATAGCAGTAACATTAATTATCACATTTTTAATTAAGAAAGTTCAAGTTACAAAACTAGACTTGACTCAACTGTATGTTGGAACCCTAAAGTGCTATTCACGCAGGACATTAATATTTTATCTTTTTGTACCTGTTTAAGGTGTTTTTTCTTAGTTTTAGGAAAACAAACAAAACATGCAAATAAACTGAACTCTACCTTGTGCTGCTATAAATTTGTTCTTTTCTTTGTAGCCCTGTTGAACAAAGAAAAAATCAGAAACGTTTTTTTTCTACAGAAACTTGCACAAATGTTTACCTTCAAAAATAACCTTATTAATTATATTATGGTTAAATACTTACATCAATGTAACTGGCATTTATGTAGTCTGAACAGGAATTTCCATCAACTTGTGACAAAACCACCCTGGAGTGGTCATCTGTTCAGAATAAAATATAAATGTATATGTGAAAAGATAATCTAACATGATGGGCACTTGTATTTAAAATCTCTAAGGTAACTTTTTTCTACAGGAAGAGGTCAACTTTGTACTTTTCTAAAAGGAAGGCTATTTGGATAAAATAAATTGCGTAATTTCTGGATGACTAGGGTATATAAAATCAAGAGAGGAAGATATTTTCAATGTCAAGTCTCTTGCAATGCATTTCCTTTGCCAAAGCACTGTACCTATAAATAGAGAATGTTCTCGGTATACGAAATGGCCTTGCATTAATTTTTCAAAATGGGAACAATAAGAATAGCAATAGTCACATGTCAATATGGAAAAAGTGATCCTCAGAACATGTGAAGTAAGACACACATCCATTGTTATGAATCAAAATGCCTGGTGTTTTCCCAAGATCCACCTTTTAATACTTATCAGTTATTGCATTTTTAATTGAAATTGTAAATTGATCACCTGAAACTGATGGATGAATAAACTTTAAAAAATGATACAGGTACATTTTTCAAAAGGTGTCTAAAGCATTTGTATGGTCAGCCTGTTTTTTTATTTTTGGTAGCATTAGGAATCAGAACATTTAGGTTTTAAGGTTTTAAGTTTAAATAGCATTTAAGTGTAAGTACTTCACCCCTTTGAGCACACTATGTTACCTCAGGATGGTCTTAATTGGTATAATAACTCACAGGGAAGGATGTTAGGATATCTGTTTTTCTCTTTGTTATCTTCCTTGTTTGCCTCCTCACATGAGCCTTGACTGTTGCCACTGGGCAATGACTGAAACACAACATGACATCACAGATCACTCAAGGAGAAATAACGACCTTTGTCAAATTTGTTTTATAGTAGAAAGAAGGAAAAGACCAGCGATCACAAACCACTGTAGCCATATTGAAATTTATATTCTCAAACCTATATGGTACTTCTGTCATTTTTAATGACAGCTAAGCTGCGATTGTAGAAATTCAGGGATCAACTTACATGACATTAAATGTTTCAAAATTACACTACAGGTGCTAGAATTTTTCTCTAAAGTAATGTTCTTTTTAATTCTCTAATATATATAGAACAGAATAAAATCTCAACAGTAAACAACAGAATTATTCAGTAGCAGTAAAAAACATTTTATTTACTGCAGTATACTTTTAATTTCATGATTGAATCAACCAAATTACTCAGGATTTCATCTGAAGATACAATTGTTATAAAAAGCAGAAGGAATTGCATGTCTCCAGTTGCAGTTACACGGATACCTATTGAATAAACAAGAATGTGAACATGCCTTTAAGCCCACTACAGCTCATTCATGTCCCTACAGTATAGGAATACTCGATCGCATTCAGCTTTTCCTTTAAGGTCCCATTTTGTGCTGTCCTTCACTACAAACCATTGAGTAAAAACATGCTTCCTCCACATTGATCCTAAATATCCAGTTCATACACTTCTATTTGACCCAGTGTTCTATTGCTAACTTAGAAGAAAAGAAAAGAGATGACATAGGCAGCTGACAATAAATAGCTATATTTCCTATGAAGCAACTATGATACATTGCAAGATTACATTAATCATCTTTGACCAAGAGACTCTTAGGGGCGGTGGCTACATTTCTACATTATGTACATTAACACAGAAACAGAGTATGCAGTTTGTCAAAGTAGTATCTCCCACCACTGAGATCAGATCAAAGCAACCACAGCAGCCATAAGGCTGCTGTTTCCTTTCAGGCCTAAATGCAAAACAGTGACAGCCACTTAGACATGAACAAAGGAAATGCAAGTGTAAGTATTTAAACATCATCGACCATAACCTGCATTGACTGTGCTAATTTTTTATTCTTGAACAGAGAAGATTATGAGGAGACCTGATGTAAATATTCAAAATTTTCAGAGGCATTGACAAAGTCAATCCAATGGCATTCTTCAGAATGAACAGGGAAACATGAATCAGAGTGGAAACTAAGTGAAACTGTATTAAAAAACCAAATAACTTATTTTACCAAAAGATGAGAGTATGGAACAAGCTACCAATCCATGTTGTTGATACCCTGACTTAATTCAAGAAAAGAATAGATAATAGATAAGATGTTTGTACCAATTGTCTGCAAATTACCAATAGGCTAGTTGGGCCAAATAGCATCCTCTGATTTGTCAATCTTCGTCTTATGACTAATAATAAAAGACACAAAGCGGTGAGATAGTACAAGAAGGAAAACATACATTGAATTCCTCCCGAAAGAATTTGCCATCATCTGCTGATCGTATTCTGTACTCCTCCTCCAGGCTGTCCACAGGAATGGGCAAGTACTTCTTAGAGACAGAGGGGGATCTTGGGAGGAGGACCACTGTCTGTTGTTCTGTAAGGCATGACCACACAGATTCAACTACTTTTACATGACTACAGGCCTCAGCTTTCACTGATTTAGCCAGATCAATTGGTTGTTGGTTTATTAATCAAGATAAACATGATGTCAGCCACTACTCTTAAAGAGATCTAAAAGATCTGAAGGGCTGTGGACCTACAATGTACAGCAAGCAAAACTGGTCACATATGGTACCATTCACGTCTACTGCACAGTGACCAGGATTGTTAAGGTTTCTATGAATCATGCTGTATCAGGTTTGACAGGTTTAACCAAATATACCATAATTTAATTGTTTTGGTTTAGTATCCACTTTGATATGGTTAAGAAAACATAATTTGTTTTAACATTTCACCACTGCGGGACTAAATAAGGTTTTAGTTTACAATGATTTGTTGATGATGTGATTACATGAACACTGTATTAGTAAAATCCGATTACTCCCAAGGTACTGGATTTCTACTCTTGTTTTTTCAATACCTCCTGGGAACACTCAGAATTTAACAATTAAAAACAAAGCATGTTTTAATTTTGATATAGAAGTCTATACACATTTCAAAGTGTAGAGAGTAAAATTTTACTTTTATAAAAAATAGGATACTGCAATGCAACTCTAAAATAATATTACAAATAAAGAATTATTTACACAAGTTCTATAAGTACAAAACCTTCTGTTGAACAAAAATGAAAACAATAAAGCAAGAGAAATTATTAATGCCTGTATGCTCATGCATGTTAGAGCCACCAAGAACTAACAAAGTTTGGTTCCTTGGGTAGGAGCTGAAGATGGCACGAAGATAGCCATTGTAGCTGGTCTGTTTATAGTGCAAGCATTTAATTTAAAATAGGTAAGGTTAAACAAGTGCCTTGGAGTGAATCATGAACACAGGAAATGGTTTCTGTTGAACTGACGTGGGCCTGTCCCTTCTGTGTTGAACTAAAACTCATGCAACCCAATTAAAAGCAGTCCCTACCTTGTTAGAAAGTGTAGATTAAAAATCAAATAGGAACAAGCAGGAGGAGTTTTAGAGGGTTTGTCAGTGGCAAAGTGAAAGCTGAATCTTTACCATATACCTGACCTTGTGAGGAAGATGTGCTCAACAGTCCAGCACAGCCTCCATGCACTTTAATGTGGTCTACAACATAACACAAACAATGAAGCCAAGGATTTTTTAGCACGTAAGTGAGAACAGAGTTTATCTAGTGAGGATGTCTCCTTACTGCATAGACTATTCTGGCGACTTTTCCATGCTCACCAGTTCCCATGTTATATTCAATTAGTATTTAAGTAATGTATTTTTAATAGATTTAAAACACTTGCCACCTAGGGGATACTGACCAATCCAAGTCGCAATCCAAAAAAGTCATAAAAAAAAGAGAAGTTGCAACATGTTTGCATGTTGCTGTTTCATATATTGTGTTAAAAAAAGCTATAGTTTAAACATCTTTCTAAAATCTATCTGTATCAGAAAAAAAACATTTTCCCCTGAATTATATTTAAATGGGGGGATACAGGTTAAAATGTTGCTCTCACTGATGACATGACATACATTATCATTAAGCTGCTGGGATCATTAAACCTGACTGTTTAAGCTGTTAAGAATGTGTTACACTGTTTATATTTAAGTATATTTAGAGCACTCCATTTTTTATTATGATATTTACTTCTCTTTCTGTTTTAGAACCGATATAAAAAGATCTGTATTGAAATTTAACAATAAATCCTAGTTCTATATGGGATTTTATCTTCTATAACTGAGTGTCCTCTGTACTGAATCTCACCGAGCTATATGATACTGTAAAGCATAAGCTAGACCCCACAGGAAGTGATTTGGTAGCACTTCAACTGAGTTTTTGCTTATTTGAATAAAGAGCTTTTAGATGATATAAATACTCAGTTTAAAAACATCCAGTTTTAAAACTTTGCGTGTGCACTACCAACCAAAAATTACCTTGTTCTTCCAAAATGCCATTTGGTATTTTTTTGTCGACAGTAGTCACAACCGCCTTCCCTTGGTTTCTAAACCTGACAGGTATATAGGAAAAGAAAAAAACAATAACATTTTAAGATTTAAAGCATCACTTACTCAGATACATTCCCAGAATAAATAAGAAGCATGCAATCAAAAGCAGTACGTACCATCTAAAACTTGAGAACTTGTTCTTTTTCATCAGAAATCCAGGTTTATTCAGGTCGCACACAGCCTTACCCAGAAGACACACTTTAGCTCTGAACGTGCCCTACAGTACTCTTCCTCCCAGTTTGGTTTCACTTTTGCTCAATGCAGCTGTTACTAATGTTTGCCCCACCCCACGGCAAGCTGCGTCATGGGCTCCTCCCTGCTAGCTGTCAGCCGTGTAATCACAGGCAGCCGGAGCTCTTACCTGAGAAAGTAAACTGCCAAAAGAACGATGATCATGAGCAGAAGGAATATCACCAAGACTGATGGCAGGATATAGTCCTTTCCCATCCCTGTCGCAGGTTCTAAGGCAATAAAAAACAATGATATGCGCTAGAAAATCTGACATTAGCAGATAACATATGAAATAACACCAACCACCCTCTGCTTCTTGTTACCTCTACAAGCCCATGAAATGTACAGTAAGTAAGTCATGGAAAGTAATACTCTTGGCCAATGATTACATGTTTGTGCAGTGACCTGACTTAATTAGACGCTGCAGCAATGTTATGTCTGTTGAATTGCACTGGTTATCACACAATGTATCACACTTCTTTTCTTTCTGTTTTCTCTGGAGCATGAAATCTCTTTTGCCTCCTTGGGTTCTTTAAAAATAATACTTACACGTCACATTTAGTTCACACTGACAGTTTTCTGTCATGGAAACAACGGGTTTCACTGCCATTAAATGATCTGGATGACTATATGTTAGGATAAATACTCAGACTAAATGGAACCTTAACCACCTTAATATACACCTCCTCACTACAGTAACTGTAATTTATGGGTTTATAAAAAATATACATATGTTGCTATTTAAATTGATTTGCTAAATAAGAAACAGGAGTCAGCAAATGCCTTTTAAATGTTTTAACTAATGAAAAAATATGAAAACACTAAAATCTAATACCTTGAAAAAATTGAGAAAATAATTAAAAACATACACAACAACTTATTTACTCTTGGTGGGGGAGATCTGCCTTCAGTTGCTGCTTTTCTCTTCTAAACCATAGGTAAATTGTTGCTTGTTTGCATTACCCTCCAGTGATGCCTTAATGTAGGCCGAAATTAAAAAAATAAAGCTAAATTCTTGACACTGACAAATTTCAAAACCAGTCAATGATGGCAGCTTTTGACTGGCTAGAGGTTAGATGTTTATGACCAAGGAAGCCATCAAATAAAACATAGTATATATGTTTTTAAATGTCTAGTACAGTCCGTTTCCTGTTCACAAGCATTGTATTGCAGCACAATGGTGCCTCCAGTGCCTGTAGATCTCAACAGTACTTTGCTTCGCTGGTGTACTTCCACATTTGTGGTGATTAACCATGTGGTTATTTATACTAATCTAAGAGTTAGGAAATTTGACCATTTCCCGATTCCTGTATTTGTCACTCAGTCACACACAGTCTGTGAATAAGATCAGTACTTATTTTGAAACTTCTCGGTTGGTAAGACTTTAAAAGTTATATCCATGTAACACAATAAAGACTGTCACATTAGACAAATGTAATGCACTTACCTGTAGTGTTACTTGGTGCTGTTGGTGAAGTCATGGTATAAATCCCCCAAGCAAGCAGTACTGGGACCATCATGACTGCAAAAAGATGGAACAAGATTATGTTAATAAATGATTTAGAAATTATGTATTCCTGGATGTGAACATTATAAATGTTTTGAATTCATACTTCTTCAGAATTACAATAAGAGATCTAGAGATATGTTACATAAACACCAAACATACCTTCAGATTAGTATGAAATATGTGGCCTTTGTACAGACTTGTATACAATTCTATTGACAGGGGGTTTACCATCTATGTTATTGATAAAATTAGAGAACATTTTATCATTTCATCCTGTAAGATTAATACATACCCCAGCCACTAAAACCACAACTTCACAGTCGATAAATATAATCTGAATGTGTCAGTGGATCTCTCTACTGTTTCCTGTTGAAAAACCTGGGGCCCAAGAAACAGAAATGCAAATATACATATTTTTCTATTTTATCTTACAGAAATCCCACCTAAGGTGAAGTTTTTTTACTGACTGGAAGGTCAGGACTGGAAGCTTTAACCAGAACTAAATGTATTACAATACAGGAAACACATACTGTAGGTGATACAGTACGTGATTAAAAGGTGTGACAAAATCATGGAATATATAGTTAAAAGTTTGGAGTTTCAGATCAAGGAATATATGTTTAAATTGAGAAATACTTGTTTAGAATATACAGTATGTTACCACAATACAAAATATACAAACATCTCTACAATGACTGGCTAAGATAACTGAATTTTCAGTCTGGATCAGAGAAGACAGGGGACAGTGATTCAAAATCCTCAAAGACATGGAAAATGTTCATCCAGTGGGCTTCGCAATTAATGCTGAAACACGAACCGGGGGGAGCAAGTGGAAACAATGGATATATGGATTCAAAATTGGGAACAGAAACTTCTTTACGCAAAGGAATGCACATTGTGGAATCTCAAACCATTTTAGAAACGGCAACAAGACACCATTAGATCAATTTGCCACTAAACTACAAATATGCAAAGTATGCTGAAACAACACCCCCCCCAAGAACCTTTGGGAACATTATTATGATCCACATTACATACCTTACTCCCTCCTCTTAATAATATCAGTGTAATTTCTGAAGAAGCTCTCGGTGCTCATTTATTTCACCAGTGAAAATCTGGCCAGAAGTTCCAGATTTATATAACTTCAGGTTTACCTACTAGCATGATGGCAGAGTATAGTACACTGATCATGAGAATGGAATTAGAGTTGAACTAATACATAAAACAATATATAAAACATATAACGTCCTTGAACTGTCCACATTTGTGACTCACTTCACAGAACAAACTAGGATTGCTATATTTTATATTCACAAACATTTTGTGTGTTTTGTAGACTATTTCACCTAAATTTCTTCACTACATCTTGCTGTTGTTAGTTATAGATATTTTGTAACTGTTAAAAAGCTTTGATTTTCATTATGCAAGAAAAGGTCTTTTTATCATACAAATCAAAATATTTGCAAATCAAAAAATGCAATGACGCCAGATAATCTCAAACTCTGGGGGAGTGGTCTGTTTCTATTTCTATATTTGAAATGCTAATTTTGTATTTACAGTTCCTAAATTTGAGATTAATTACATCTAAAATGTATGCGACACAATCAGCAACTGCAAAAAAATCCTATTTTTAGTTTTTGCATTTAATTGCATTTCAATTTGAAATATGATTGCTTTCCTCATGTAATATTTTCCGTGTCTCTATATAAAATAACTAAATCAGCATAAATAAGTTGCAAGTTTTATGTGCGCAGTACATCTAATGTTTATACGCACGTTCATCACCCATGCTGCATGCAGTTAATAAAAATCACATAAAGAGTCCACCAGAGGGCGCATAAAACTCACAAATGAGGTAACTGCAGCAGTGGGTTCTGTACATTGAGCGAATTTTGTTGTAAACTGCTGTCTGGCATAAGTATTCAAGGAATATATCGTAACAATCTTTTATAATGGTTTCGTAAGGTTAGGCAGAGAGCTCATTGTTTATGCCTCTTATTTATATAAACACCTTTCACTCTGAAATTAAGTCAAGATGTTCTTAGAATGTATGTATCTTGTAACCACAGGACCCTATTATTTTTGTCTCTTAAAAAATCAACTATTCTAATTTAATCGCTTCTGTACAGCTGTGAATTGAGGAGAAATGTATTAAGGGTTTAATCAGTTTCTCATGGGAAGTTTTGCTTTGCCTTACATTTCTTATCTTTTCTAGGAGGCCCATGGTGAAATTGATAGACAGGCAATACGATCTTATTTTCTCTGTATTTCTTTGTATTTGTTTTCTCTGTATTTCTTTGTTTTGTATGCTTTGAAGGTCTTGTGTGAAAGTCATGTTAAGTAGGTGAATTGTAGCGATCCTTTGTATAAACAGAACCAAAAGAAATATTATTATGATCTGAACAAAGTCCAAGAAATCAGGTTTACTGGGAAATAGCAGGAAGACTGTAATCTGAAGCAGAGAACGTTAGAACAATACATAAAATTCTCCTAACCACACCATTCACGCAGGGAATACAGCTGCAGGCCTGGTTATTCAGAAGTCAATCATTTCATGATAAAAACACAGAGCAGAGTGCTGTGTAGACATTGCGCTGCAGGTAAACATTTTAAAAATGGCAGTATCAGACAGTATCCGACCTTCTTTAAGGCTTTACGGTAATTTATTATCATCTGGATCTCTTGTCTGAAAGCACACTCTAAGTGAAATTCTGCTCCAAGGCACTTGAAAGCTCTATGCAGGCTTTGTGAATATTTAGTCTAAGCACTTGGTGGGTTGAAAAGAGAACAACATTTGTTTTACTTAATTGTAAACATCAGACTGGAACTGCTTTCATAAAGGATTTTTTATACTTGACATGTTTGGCAATATGAAGCTGTTGTCTGGCCCGTTGAAGCTCATGCATTTATAACAATGTCCCCACCGGGACAGCCTCTAATTACTTCTTGAATGACCTACATGTTCTGCCCTTGATGACCTCATCCAAACAGACCATTCTATGCATTTATAATAGCTTGCAAAAATGTAACCTTCTATCATGATCTCATGCATAATTATATTGTAAAATCAAACAGAACAATGAAGGTCCTGTTACATAAAATATTAGATATCAGCATTACCCGGCATTACCCGACTGACATTACCCGGCTATTGATATTCAAGTATATTTTAATTAAAAAATATTAATTTCAATGCAGCTAATTAAGGACTCAAGGATGGTATTCACAACATCAACCAGTATCTACTGTACCATCATAATAATAGTTCTAAAGACCAAATGCAGCATTAACATTAGCATTACTAGCAGAAGTAACTGAAGAAGGGGACACAGTAAAAGAAACAGCTGCAGTTTTGTTTTACTGATTGTGAATGTTTCAAAAACTACTATTCTGACAAACTGAAGCAACTTTTTGGTGCAAACACCGAAGGGCTAGTAATGAGTCCTCTGTATACTCTGTAATGAGTCTTTTCTGTATACTCTCTTATTCAAAACAGAAAGATCAAGTGAATAGTATTTTTCAGGGATATTATTCAAATTCAGCCATTTAGAAGAAGACTGGCAGATTTTTAAGTTAGAGCAGAGCACCTTCACTGAATAAGAAGCTCGACTGTTTTTCTCAGGTTTAGAAATGTCAATGGCTAGAGTAAAAGGAAAGGAATCTAAAAGTGAACCAGATTCAGAAGCCATCTCCAAACCTTTTACTACTTTATCAAGAGGGGCTGTTGTGACAGAAGGGTTGATAAGCCTGGAGCAGGCTGGTGAAGCATCTCTTGTTTTTTTGCAAAGCACTGGAAAGACCTCAAGACCATATCCAGTACAGTGGGAACCCTTCAGGCTATTTCAAAGGATTCAAATAATAATCTAATACTGAAACCAAGGAGATCTTAATAAGTTGTGGCATAACATAACTTTATTAGCCCTACACAATTTCTTGCATTAGGAATTCATCTTTTTGCATACTCCAGTTGGCTCTTCATGAGACACACAGACAGGGAGAGAAGCCTGGGGTCAGAGCACAGCGTACAGAGTACAGCGCCCCTGGAGCAGTTGGGGTTAAGGGCCTTGCTCAGGGACCCAACAGAGTAGGATTCCTCTGCCAGCTGCAGGATTTCAACCAGCAACCTTCCAGCCACAGGCACAGATCCTTAGCTACATAACCACTGCTCCACTTTGTATGTATAAATAATACATACAAAGTTAATAGATTATTTCAGAACAAATACACTTGTCTCCATAATGTACCTCAGTCAGGTATTAAATTTCAACCAAAGATTCAGCCACAAAAAACAGGTAGCTTTCAAAACCAGTCAGGAATACAGTTGTTGAAAGGCAGAGGTCAGGAGAAGGGTATAAAAACTTAAATTCAAAGACACTGACAATCCCTTTGAGCACAATGAAGCTGACCATTAAGAAGTGGAAGCTTTATCATCCCATCCAGACACTGCCTGGATCAGGCTATCCCACCAAACTGAGAAGCCAGGCAAGAAGAAAACTGGCTGAGATACTGTAGGAGCATATGTCCATGAGTCAACAATATCCCACTCACTTCACAAAGCTGGCCTACATGGTAGAGTGACAAGAAGGAAGCCATGGCTAAAAGACACGAACAAAGCATTTAAGTGATCTTGCAAACATGTAGTAAAAGTTTAATTTGCTCCAATAAACACAATTATAAAAATTTAAGGCAGGCACATTGTGATGATGAATTCATGCTTCAGTTTTGCACTTCAACTCCAGTGTCAGCCAAGGCACTTTCTATTCCAAATCCAAGCACGCCAGAGTTTATTTTTAAACAGTATAACTTTAATTTACCAAAAATCTATGAAAATCATAAATGATTGCTTCCAAATCCACCTCATTTTGTATTGCTTTTTGTTGATGAATTTCAATAACAATGACAAATAATTAAAGCTTTGAGGTGCATGTTTGTGTGATGACTGCATAATATTAGATAGGATACACTGTAATTAGGGCTCATTACCAAATCAGAATTACAGTATATTTTTAAAA